TTTTATTTATATTCTTTAACTTATTTAAGCAAGTTTTTAATAGTTATAGAGAAAAGATTAATTAATTATATAACAATCAATTATAACAGTAGCCTACTAATCTAATAGTAATTAAATAATCTATATTTAAATACTAGTATCCTCTCCAACTACCAGAAAAACAATTCAACTACTTGAGGCCTAAACAGATTAACAGAATCATATTATACTGTAGCATCAAAAATATTTAAAGTATTAATTGTGACCATTGCACCTGTCGGCTACTCTTTCACCACTTAAAAACACTCATGGTCAACAAGCACAGGTAGCTCAGAGGTAAGGCGTGAGGCTCACATGTCAAAGGTCCCGGGTTCGAGACCCGTCCAGGCCAATAAATTTTATTTTGTTTTATTTTCAAAATAAGTTTTTATTAACTATTTAATCAATTTACTCAACTCATAATTATGCTTTGCATACAAAATCTATATTACTTTGTGTTTTTTATGTTTATGCCCAATGGGATGGTTGGCCCTTCCGCAAAAATTGGTTGGTTGGCCAACCGTAAGACTGAGTGCCAAAACATACCGTTGGCCAACGATCGACAGAAACGTTGGGCCAACGATTTGCCAACGATTTTTGCTACTTGGGAATCACAAAAAGCAATTTATAATTGGCGAAGCATCGATTTTCCTTCACAACATTTTCAGCTTCTATGTTCAGACTAAACTGTTGCATACAGATAGAAACCAGCTAGTATATTAGTAGATGAAATAGAGAACTTATATAGTTGGTTTAAGATTTGAACTACATTGTCTAGTTGCGACAATGGGAGACATCAATTGGCACAAAACTCATGTATTTATGATGACTACATAATTTTCATAACTTATACTTATTATTTGATTGCAAATAGCTTCAAGTGTTGTACCTCGTTGTATACTATGTGTTTCACAAATTTATCAATATTGATCAAATTGATGGCCAATTTATGAAAATAAATCAAATAACGTCAACAATTATTGGTTCTTCAAAATATTTTCTAATTATTACAAGTGAAAACTATCAATCAACTAAATTTGTTTTTACTTAATTAACTGTAAGCTAAAAGAATAATAAAACATTTTACTGCACAATGAACCATTGTAAAAATCAATCAAATCCTTTTAATATTTACTTTAGACAATCAAAAAGCACAAATATTTACAGAAAATTTGCGTTTAATTGGTCAATTTCAATCAATCCACAATCACTTAGTCAGAATGCTTAATGGTTTTCATTCGTATTTCATCAGTTATTCACAATGTTGAGGTTTCTTAAACCAACTTTGTATTTATGTTTCATCGTAGGTTTAGTACCTTACTCTCCACACAGGAAGTCCCTTTACATACCCACTACACTGTACTCTCTTTCTCTCATACTTCTCATGTGGCAATCCAGTTTAAAATCCCTATCAATAGCATTCAATGAAACTGTGGCTGATTTTTACCAGTACGGACATTTACTTCCTTTGCAAATCTCATTCAACTTCTTGATGACTTTTTGCTCACTTATCATGGTGCTTTGTCGACACCAAATGTGGATTGAACTCTTCCAAAAACTCAATAAAGTTGAAATTTCCAAGGGAATTTTCGAATCCAGGATTTCTTACCGTGGAACATCTACTATACAGCTCGTCGGAGTTATTTTCCTAGTTTTGTATCAATGTTTTTATTACTTATCCTTCTATTACAGGATGACAGATATAAGTTTGTTGGTCGTTTCTGGCCAGTTGGTGTCAATGGGTGTTAACATCACACTTCTTATTGAGTTTAGCTCTTACATATCTGTTTTAAAAACAGATTTCACTCTCATAAATGAAAAGTTGTCATCTCTAGTAGGAAATTTTCTAGCTTTTGATGATCTCAAAACACACCCGACAAGATATAAGGTTTCACACTTAGTAAAATCATCGAGGGAAATTTATCAACAACTGTGTGACATTTGTAGGCTCGTTAATAAATGTTTTAGTCTCCAATTACTTATTTCGATTGGAAAATCTATTGTTTTGATCACTGTTATTTTGTACACAATATCCCTAACGTTCCTTGGAAAGAGGGTTGTTTCAGGGGAGCCGTTTTGGATGTATTTCACCGTAATGAGTTTGATTTTGGTCCAAAACGCTGCTGAGCTCTTGGCTCTGGTGTTTATTTGTTCTTCTCTGTGTAATCAGGTAAAATGACATTGCAAAATACAATTTAATTTAAATATCATACGACTGGCTGGCACGGATATTTTGTTTTAGCTATCTTTTAAAATTTCCCAATTGTTGAAAGTCGGTTAATATTAAATGATTTTTCAGGCAAATCAAACTTCAGTATTGGTGCACAAACTAATAAATGCGGATCTATCTCCAAATACCAGAGAAGAGGTAAGTTAAATTCCTCTTTTGCAGCAAACCTGCACTCTTAGTCGGAACTTTGCACTTAAGATCCAAGCCCCAATTGATAAACCATTGAAATAACATTAGTACTTAGGTTTACTACTTCAATGCATATAGGCCTAATAAATTTAATTTTATTACTAAACATTTGAATCCCAAAGAAAAGAATAGCCATCCGTAACATGTTGAATGGTAACACTTTTAATTATGTGAGAGAAAACAGCTGAAAACATGAAATGGCATTCCTGTAACATGGTTTAAAAGCTTGGAAATATTATCCTAGGGCATTCACCAGTATTATTAGCGGGTAGACAATATGAGGGGAGGGGGCGGTGTTGGACTTTGCCCTAGACACCACTTAAGCAGGGCCATGGTGTGGATGGGTTGACCATTCTGGGCAGGGGGTTGCCTCGGGAGCAGCGGCTTTGGGGGAAGTCACAGATGTCACAGCAAATGTAGTACTGTGCATAAATTTTGAAAATACCTATGTCCTCTGTACCTTACTTATCTGTGACCACACCCAGTGTTTACTGTTGATATCTAATCAAATGTTATGGCAAGATTTTATTTCAGTTGCAGCTTTTTTCATACCAGTTACTTCACCAGAAAGTATATTTTTCAGTTTGTGGATTTTTCAATTTGGATTTTACACTCTTAAATGGGGTGAGTATATTTTTCTTTGGTATAAGCATAGCCTGCTCTAACACGAGGCTGCGGTGTGTGGAAACGCCATGCTTAATTGTCATGGTAATAAAAGAAGTAACGAAAGTGTAAACATAAACATTTCTTACTGTACTGTAGATTATAAATTAGAGCAATAGCTGTTTCGGTTTGACGGGACAGCGGTGTTGCCACTTTTGTCTTGCGCGGCCTTATGTAAGAGGAGGCTATGGTGTTAGTTAAATTAACACAAAAATCATATGTACAGTAGGGCCTACATATTTTTGAACATGAAAAAGATTTTTGCCATTTGAGATTAATATATTATAGTATCTTTGACTATTGAGTATTAAACTAGACATTCCATCCCATGTTAAATTTGTAGCCAGTTTTTTAACCAAAATCGTCATAGTTGATGTGAGCCACCGACAGATTGTACTGATCTAAATTAATAACTTTAGATGAATACACAAAACTTTAAGTCAAACTAACTGATAGACATACAGTAGACTCCCTCTTATCCGGACACCTTTTAACCGGACATCGGATTAACCGGACTACACTCGGCAGAAATGACATCTCTTTAACCGGACAATTTTTATCAGCACATCAGTTTAACCGGAGTAGATCGGCAGGAAGTGGGCGGTACTGAAACGACCATTCTCGTGGAAAAGATTTGAGACCAGTAATCATGTGTCTATTGTCGGGACCACGTAAGTTTGCAGTTGGTGGCAGCCAATCACAAGACAAGACTAGTGCGACGTTGCCACATCGTCCGTTGACAACACTAATTAAAATATACTAAGCAATATATTAAAATCAGCTGGTATTAACAGATTTGGCAACACCGCACAGTTCTCATTGGTTCATTCAAAACCATATGGTAAATAGGCTCCTCCCTCAACTGCAAACTTACGTGGTCCCGACTCTAAATACAATGCTTTCCTAAATTTGAGTCAAATACTATATACAGTATGCATTCAAACGGTATGTTTTAACGAGTTTTTGGGGACATCGGTTTAACCGGAAAACCCATTATCCGGACTGGCCTCGGTCCCGAGGAGTCCGGATAAGAGGGAGTCTACTGTATTGTGATCTATAGCAACTGTTATGACTCCTCAACTGTCAGCAACAAAAAATAAGGTAGAAATTAACATCTCGGACACTAGTGTATCCTGTGACTCGCCACACAACTATATTCTTTTTTGATAACAAATTTGCAACAGCTGGTCCATATTAATGGGATGTCTACTTAAGTATCCAATATTCAATGATACCCTAGTATTAATATTGGGATGACAGTATTATATACTATAGTATTATCTTACTACAGTAATATTATACTACCGGAGATAGTAAAATACCATCCCTGGGCTGATAGTATTAATTTGTTTACAGATGAATAATTCATAATGAGAAAATGCAGACTGAGTTTTTATTTCAGGTTCATGCTATAGTTTTAATGTGGGATTTCGTAGAGTCAAACTTAATCTGATAAGGTCAAATTAATTTTATGGTAAAATATTAGAGTAGTTTTTAAACCATTCTAAAGCCAAACAACCTTCTTAGTGACACATATTCAAATGATTATAAATGCTTTTTTATAATCATGAGCTGATTGCAGCTTTGTTTTCAGGTGATAGCATCGGTTGCCACATACCTAGTGATTTTGATCCAGTTTCAGATGTAGGAAACTTCATATTTTTTTTGTATGGGAGATGCTTAGTACTTTCTTTCCAGTATGTAGTAGTTGACATAGTAATTGATATTTTGTATGTATTTCTTCAATATATCAATATTAAAATTCTGAAATACTGTATTTATTTTACCTCATTACAACACAAAGGCCCTTGTTCTATAATGTTCGGAACGATGACGAAAGATTTGACATTAGTGCAATAGGCTTGAAGTTGAAACTATGGTCAAATAAAAACTATACGGATTGGCTTTGGCAGCATTAAAACATTCAATACCTATTTACTTTGGATAAATAATTTGATTTACTTGTACAAATATATAATATGTTTGCATAAAGAATGCAGAGGCAGCCCCATTACTGTGAAATAATCTCCGTCTATTTTCTCTACGATGGATCCTCCATAGCCCTGGATCCCATAGGCTCCTGCCTTGTCCCTGGAACATATAAATATGAACTCAGTGGCTGATCCAGGGGGGGGGGGCGAAGGGGGCGACCCCCCCCCCCCTCGGGCATACATATACATATATAAAAAACAATATTACACTATGGAAAGTTGTAAGGTTGTACGCATCATCCAATTTTTACAGCAGTCAGCTGTTGACATGCTTGGGCAAAGGCGAGCGCCGAGCGAGCGAGCGAGGACGGGGAAACAGCTGCCTGATGTTCCATAGTTAGTTGTCAAATTGTCTGCTAGCCACTAACTTTACACAGGCATCAATCAGCAATCAGCGGTAGCACCAGTAGCCTATTACCATTGACTATATAAACACTAGTGTTAAATTTCATATAGACAATGCTATTACTGAATTCGATACTATACATATTGTGACAGATCTATGAAATTGGACAGTTAGATAAAGATATAGACATTAATAATGGCTTTAGAAAGTCAGTAAACCGCTTTTAAGAGGATATGGCCGTAGCCTACAATATGTTTTGAGATTTATGAATGCAATCGTCATAGATAGTTTTTAAAATGTCTACTTATTCATGACAAATAAATGGGGAAATGGGAGGTTTTTGCACACAGTTCTTGATGATAAAACTGGCTGTAAAAAGTCACCCAACGGCTTTTAGAGGATATGGCCGTAGTTTACAGTTTGTTTTGAAATTCATGAATGCAATCGTCATAGTTTTATTTTTAAAATGTCTATTTGCTAATGCACGGTTTTAGGTGTTAAAAATGGCTTTAGAAAGTCACCAAACAGCTTTGAAAATTCCAAATTTTCCCGGGGGACCCCCCTGGTTTATTGGGGGGTGCACCCCCCAAGCCCCCCCCTTGACAAGGTCCTAGAACCGCCACTGGACATAGGTAGGCCTAATGCTATTACATTAAGTGAAACCAACTTGTAGGCCCTTACGTTCACCAGACATTGCTAAAAAGCGAGTGCTGAGTTTCATTCCTGAGCTACGTCACCCAAAGTAACAGTGGGTATTTCAAGTAGAAGTACCTATCGTTACAGTTATGTTCCATCAATCACAAAATCATAGCTGGTATGTACAGTATAAAGGATACTTGGACCAATTTTATAAATAGTAAGTATTATCAAAAAGAACTAATTAAAAATTGACAGTTTTTTAGGCTATCCTTTACAAAGATCAAGGAATATCCCTTGCACCATAAATATTGTACTTACATGGGTTCTTCTGTGGCAATGTAAGCTCTTATTGTCTTCTCATCAAGGTCGGCCACAAACACTTTGGTGCTTTCATAAAACTTCCTGAGCGCTGTCGGTGTTTTGATGACTACGCCAGTAAACACTGTATGTTGTTTCCCACTCAACCTAATATACACATGGTTTTAATATGATTGGCCAATGGCCATTGGTTTTAAAGATTTTGATTACCTTTATTGAATAAAAGAAAAACAAGTACCACGTACACCATATTGGGCAGTAGGCGAGTAAAATAAAATAGCCTACTTTAAAACCCAAAACCTACATAAAGGACAATGTGCAGGTAACTCCCTCCCTCTTATCTGGACATCTTTTAACCGGACAATTTTTTTTCAGCACATTGGTTTAACCAGACTGGATCGGCAAGATATGGGCCAGTACTGAAACGACATTTCTCATAGAAAAGATTAGAGACCAGAGATATTGTGTCCGACAAACTACAAGCGAAATTATAGTAATATACAAAATGAAAGCTTATTAAATTGCCAGCAAGTTTTTAATTTACTATTTTTCAAAATCTTGTATGATATTCGCGTTATTTACTATCAAACGTTTAAAAATGAAGAAAATACATTTTTTCTCGTGTTTTTTTTTCTTTTTGACAAGTTTTTTAATCCTTAACCATGCACCCTAAAAATAAATGCTGCGCATAGGGTTGTAAAAAATCAAATTCCCTTCAATAGACATTCCTAGTTTACCTTCTTCACTTCAGATTGAAAAACAAATTAACCGTCAGTATGAAAAGAAAAATTAAAATCTAGTGTTGAGCAAGGAATTTGAAATCTTACGATAGCTGTTGACTACTGAATATTTCAATTTATCACCCTACTTAGTCAACTAATTGGTTGAAAAATCAACCATTAAGTAGATTAAATGAGTACTGGGCGTCTAAAAATAGCACAGACTAGTTGTTTCCAGTTAATAACATTAACTACATTTTCATGTCATTTTAATAATTTAAATACAAGAGTTTCAGTGTCTATATGGCAGTGGAAACCAATCACAACCATTAAATTGAAACAAAGATAAATGATATATTTAAGTGAATTAAAATAAAACATTACATCAGTGAGTAGCATACTACAGCATTGAGTCAATCCCTTGCTATCTTAGTTTGGAAAGGACCACTATCCTCATATTCATTTTTATCCTTTATTCTCCATCGGACCACTTTTGGGAATAGGTAAGTGTATACAACTGTTTCTTCATCTTCGTAGTCATCATTCCCAGGGACAACATCCTGGTAATTTTGACATACTTATTGTAGGCTTGCTTTTTTGCCACCGGATTTTGTACTAGCACAGTTTAATGTGCATAGGCAGAAAACAATTTTCAGAATATCCTCCAGTTAAGTTTCATACTGACTGTACTCTGGGATCACAGAGTTTTTCTTGTTCTTTCCACACTTAAATCATAGAAGGCAGGTTATTTCTCTGCCACAGCTGAACTTTTGGAATGTACATAGGAGACGATGTTTTAAAGCACCATCGGTCGGAGGAAGACCAGAAATATTCATGGAGACCATAGATTTAAAAATTGACTTGTGGGCCACTGGGGAGTTCAGCTACAACTCCTCATTTTCTAAGCAACTTTGCTTTTGTCAAACGTTGAAGATATTTTGTCGCATTATGTAGAGGTCTTCAAAAATATCATCTAATCCTTGTTGAGATAGTTTATGGTGAGAGAAAAAGATGTCCCTTACCTTATTTCTTAGAGACAGTGCCGTCCGAAGGGGGGGGGGGCAACCGGGACAAGCTGCCCCGGGCGCCGTGGCTGAGGGAGCGCCGCGCAGTGTCTATTATTGTATTAACATAGTATTAAAATATGCGAATGCAACTATTACTGGGGGGAGGGGGCGCCACAACCACGTTTGCTCCGGGCGCCGCCAACCCTAGGGACTTAGAGAATACCCCCGCCGCAGCAAACCTGCAGACTAAGCGAATTTCCATTTGACTGATTGGATTTACACTGAAATGTCTACTTAAAAATATAACATTTATTCCCGATTTAAATAGAATTAGTTTAACAAGTACTTAGGTTTGCTGCATCAGGGAGGGTAAAACTGTTTTTTTTGTAAAATGTTAATAGTTAGTAAGAAATAAAAACATTTTCCAAATTTGATCAAAATATGTTTATAAACAAGCAAACTACAACAGTTTACTTATTCTCCATAAGAATAACATGGAAATTTTAAATTTACAATTTTTTGGAATTTTCTCCGTAACCATTAGGCGCATAATAACGCTTCAACATACTAAATTATTTGTTTTTTTAAGCTCTACAAAATGGTTTGGAAAGAAATTGCTGAATTTTATGTTTTTTGGGTCAAAAATGGGAAAAACCTTTTTTTACCCCATAAAACCCCCCGTAAACCCCCGTTCCGATCATGCTGGATCGCGAACTTGTTCGAATAAACGTAGGTTTACACGTTTGTACCAAATTCCATCAAAATCGGATAATTTTTGCTCGAGTTATTGTGCTAACGGACACATATATATATATTATATATATATATGAATTTGAACGGATGGTGTTTTTGGCCTCTAGGGATCTCAAAACGAAAAAAAAAATCGGTCCCACGTCCAGGTCTTACCATGAGTACTACGGTAATAGCTTATTCCCTATATGGGAAATTCGCTAAAAAGAGGATGAAAACGAATATGAAGATGGTAGCCCTTTAAGATAGCAAGGAATATTGATTCGATAGTAGGCTACTCACTGACATAATGTTTTATTTTAATTAACATAAATATGTAATTTCTTTGTTTCAACTTAATGGTAGTGTGATTTGTTTCCAGTGCCATATATATGTACTCTTATATGCATAAACATGGTTATAATATAACAACATATTTTCCCATTAAAATAGTCTAGTTAGATCAACAAATGTAAGGAAGCTGGTTAGGCAGTCCACAAGTATTTACTATAATGGGTATCTGTGCTATTTTTAGATGCCAGTGCTCACTTTATATACTTGATAGTGAATGTTCCAACCAATTAGTTGACTGGGTAAGGTGATAAATTGAAATATTCAGTAGTCAACAGCTGCTATAATTTATTTTTGTAAAAAAATACAACCGACTTCAAAAGCTCTAAAAAGAATTAAATAATTTCAATAAAGTAAACTTTTGTATTAGGCAAGCTCACGTATTTCCAGTCGGCGCGGCTCAAACTGCAAATACGATTGAAATTAAATATTGTGTGTGTATTTTGAAAATCAATAAATTGTAGCTGGATAACATAAATATATAAAAAACATACTGAACTGTTTTGTTTATATATTAAAGGAAATATTTTCTTATATTTTATGTGTACTTCAGAATAAATGCATTATGAAAATAACACACACAAATGTTCTATATGAATAGGAAAATAATTTAGTTTGATATTATAATAGGGAAAAGAAGCTAGTTTAGTATTAAAACGTTTCTTTTCCAAGTTAGAAACATTTAAACATGCGTTTTAATCTTTTTAAAGATACTCGTTAAAACCACTATATTGTCGATCTCTGATTACGGTAATAAAATAACACTTAACGCATAACTATGAAAAAGACATGCAGATTAACACCTTTAGTTATAATCACCTGCAATATGGACACCCTCATTCAATTTTGTATCAAAAATCATCATAGAGCCGCGCCGACTTAAAATACGTGAGCTTGCCTAATACAAAAGTTTACTTTATTGAAATTATTTAATTCTTTTTAGAGCTTTTGAAGTCGGTTGTATTTTTTTACAAAAATAAATTATTTCATGATTTTTAGTGACTGTATAATTTTTTATATATTAATTACTTGAGGATTTTTGATAAGCAAAACTGTTTGAAACAATCAAAAGTTCCACAGAACAATCATTATTCACCTGTTCAGGCTACATAATCAAGGGGTATGAAAATAAACATCTTTAGATATTCCTTAAGAAAGAAAGAGTTGTCCATTACATTAGGCCTAATGAAAAACTAATTGTCTTTTCTAGATACATTGAAATGTCAGACATCATTGTTTCCTGCAATCGGCGTACTTCTACATTATAAAAAGAAATACAGTAACGTCTCAAGCCTTTTGGAACAATATGAAAGTTATGCCTCAGCTACCAGCACTAAAAAATCTCACAAAAGTGGAAAATTGGTCGTTAACACCATAGTACCTTTCGTATAGTACCTTTGGACAATATTATATGAAAGATTGGTTCAGCTAAAAGTGGTGTAAGTCATGTAGGGGGTTTTGTTTGCTCAAGATATAGCCTAGTCGAAATTGTAAATCATCTTCCTCTAGGAAGCAGGCATAATAGTAATTGATATGTTATAGTAACTGGGTAGAGAATATTAATAAACATTCCACATCTGCAAATGAAATATGTATATGAAAGATTGGTTCAGCTAAAAGTGGTGCAAGCCATGTAGGTGGTTTTGTTTGATGAAGATATAGCCTAGTCGAAAATGCAAATCATCTTCCTCTAGGACTTTCCGAAGCAGGCATAGCATTGATATGTTATAGTAACTGGGTAGAGAATATTAATAAACATTCCACATCTGCAAATGAAAGATGTATATGAAAGATTGTTTCAGCTAAAAGTGGTGCAAGCCATGTAGGTGGTTTTGTTTGATGAAGATATAGCCTAGTCGAAAATGCAAATCATCTTCCTCTAGGACTTTCCGAAGCAGGCATAATAGTATTGATATGATATAGTAACTGGGTAGAGAATATCAATAAACATTCCACATCTGCAAATGCATGTTTAGTAATTAAAATATTTAACACTTTTAAGACAATTGACGATTATGCACTGTCACACTTAATTGCATTTGATTTATATTTAGACCTGTTTTACGAATGCTTTGGTTTTCACAATACACCGTTATTTGTCAATATCATACAGCTATTCAGTGAAACATATTCAATACTAAAAACAGAATTACTGTATACACAAATCAGGTCAAACATAAAATAGGTTAAAATACATTTTTTGTAGTAACCAAAACAAAATGCATTTTTCTCAATGTAATTCATTTAAGCTCCATGGCAAGAAATAGTTTATTGATCAATATGAAGCAACTGTTTCATGAAGAATTGTCTTTAGCTTCATTTAAATGGTTTCAACTAACAGCTGTAGGAATGTTATTATTTTTTATTGCCTTCTCTGTACAAATGTAAACAATCTGCACAAATGTAAACAAAATAAATGTTGAATATTTAAGGTTTTCAGAATTTTTCACCGAAACAAATATTATACTTCAACATAATATATAAGGTACCAAATAGAAACTCTACTGGTTATTTTGGTGGTGGAACCACACTGATCGGTAAAAGAATCACAGAGAAATTGGTGAACATACATAGAAAAAAAAAAACATCGCCACAAACAAATTGAGAACCTCCTCCTTTTGTTGGTAGTGGGGAAGTCGGTTAAAAAGACTTCAAATTCCTGGTTGAACACTAGATTTTAATCTTCTTAAACTTTAATTTAATTTTAATTTTTGTACACTGACGGTTAATTTGCTTTTAAATTAAAACAGAAGAAGGTAAACTAGAAAGGTCATATATGTTTGAGGGGAATTTGATTTTCTATAACTCTATACCCAGCATTTAGTTTTAGGGTGAACGGTTAAGGAGTAAACTTGTCAAAAAGAACAAAAAACACAAACAAAAATGTATTTTTCTAAATTTTTAAATGTTTGATAATAAAAATGCAAAAAGCATAAAAGATATTTAAAAATAGTAAGTTACAAACTTGCTGGCAATTTAATAAGCTTTCATTTGGTATATTACCACAATTTCGCTTGGACGCATGATTTCCGAGATATCCGCAAAAAAACTTTAAAATGGTACCTTCAGGCCCCCCCTCCCCTACAGCACAAGGTCTAGTGGCGGGGACTTTTGGTATGTTTACCTCCTAACTATACTCAACAAAGTTACCAAGTCAGAAATTGTGTTCCAAACATTTCCCTCTATACCCTTTTTTGAGCATTCGTTGCCTAGCCTCATTCAACGTTGTGAATTTATTCACAAACGTAACCATTGATGAAACCATCAACATACTTGAATCTAATCTAGATAAAAACTCGTCCTTATCAACTGAGGCTAAAAATTAAATTGGTTAATTTCGCTAAAAACGTCTTCAAACAAAATTATTTCACGTTCAAAAATAAATACTACACACAAAATGAAGGTAGATGGGCTCTCTACTTTCAAGCGTCCTTTCAGAATTGTTTGTAAACAACATTGAAAATAAGCTTTTATGGTCAGATTCCAACAAACAAAAAGATAAAATAGTTCACTATAGCCAATATGTGGACAACACATTAATTTTATTCAATGGTGATGAAAGGCAAATCAAGATCACGGAAATAATCTGAACAAAGTCCACCATAGATTAAAATTCACTCTCGAAACCGAAGCTAACAAATCAATTAATTACTTAGACATCACAATCACAAGAACTAACCACAACCTGGAATTAAAAATCCACAGATAACCTACAACAACCGACCAGACCATCCATTCATCACACACCATCCTTTCTACTACAAGACAGCTGCTTACAATAGTTTCGTTCACAGACTATTATGCATACCACTTACCACAGAAAACTACAACAATGAAATAAACATTTTGAAACACAATTTCCAATGGATATGAAAGCTCTCTCATTTATAAACTCATTTGAAAACAGAAAAATAAAACATAAGAGATTCCAGAACTCAGAATCAAAAAATACGTCTGTGCTGAATTTGGAGTAGTACTCAATAACACCTTGAGAAAAGAAATGGCGAAGAACAATGTACAAGTTGCATACAAAACATCCAACAAATTATCTTGTATACTCAAAGAAAAGAAAAAGACGCCTTCCGATAAAGTAAACAACACATTTACAAAATAAAATGCAACGATTGCCCAAACTTTTACATCGGCCAAACTGCTCGTTCTTTCGCCACTAGATTTAAAGAACATCTACCCAAAAAGAACTTGAAATCAGTATTCAATTTACGATCCAGAGGCTTACCCACCATGAAATTACTAGTGTGTATTGTCTAGTATACTGTTGTGTGGATTCGCTTTTCTGTATTTTTTTTATTGTGACTCCCCATTTAGTGTGCATTCTTTTTTATGAGTGACGAATGAAGGAGTCTAGTTGTGCCAATTGAACAAAAGCTCAATGCTCTTGATAAAGGTGAATCAGTAAATATAAGACGTTAGTTTAACTGGAAAAACAGTTATCCGGACTGGCCTCGGTTCCCAGGAGTCTGGATAAGAGGGAGTCTAACTGTACTTTGAAGTAAACAAAATGATCTTGTTTCACAATTAAGAACTCTAAAAATTACTTTTTAAAAGTGAAGTTTAATAGTATAGGTAGGTATCTTAACAAGTCTTAATCTTGGTTATTCCTGGAGCAGTTTGTAAGCACTGTGTTAGACTCATATCAGACGAGCACTATTGCCGTCGAGCAGATGCCGTCGAGATAGCACCGGAAAATGTCATACGTGGCGGCAAATGCGTCGCGTTGATGCCGTCCTGCCAACAACGTTTGGCTGTCATAAGTAGCGTCTTCCGGGGGCATTTGTAGTCGCGGCACTTATTTTATTTCCAAGATGGTAAATATTTATTGCTATCAGGTACCTACATTAAAAAAGTTACCTGCTTGGTCATTTTGAACAGCAGCTGTCATCCGATTCCAGTTCTCCTGCATGACCTCCCAACCTGGTTCCAGCATTGTGCCTTCAGTTGTCTGTTGCTAAAATCACTCGACTTAACGTCATACAGAGCAGGGCATTTTTCAACTGTATAAATACATTTTTCTGTGTCAAACATGATTATTACTCCAAAAAGGTCTTCCAGTTGTTCTGCCAGTAGTCTGGCGGCAAATTCGTCCCACCAACGGTATTAGCGTCCGCATGACTAGCTCCATAAGAACCCCATTTTCGGGTGGGAGCGGCATCAACGCGGTGGAAATAGCGCTCGTATGATATGAGCCTTAGTAAGCTTTGTTTTAAAAGAACGTAATGCAAAACAAAGCCTAAAACTTGTGGTAAATAGTCAAGATAACATCTTTTTTTGTCTGAAAAATGTTAGTGCATGAAAGACATAAAAATCACCAGGTCATTCAGGTGAGGAAGAGTATCATTAATATAAAATGTAGGTTAAAAGAGCCACATACGTATTGAAAGAAAAAAATTCTCCTACAACCTGAATTTATGTAATAAACAAAATTAAAACACACAATGTACTCAGACAAATATATCTGAGGACACCTGGTGAGAAAGATTGAATTAGCCTACTTTGAACTTGGCACTGTGCGAGTAAAGGTGAAGAGCCAGTGACAATGATACACTTAATAAACTATTTTCAAGTTACAGGTTATAATATAAGTCAAATGAAGATAACTTTACTTACGACTTACGCTTGTAAATGTGAGAAAGCTTCTGCTTTGTCTTTTGGTTTTCCATAGATCTTTCCATTTAATGACACTACTGTATCAGCCCCAATAATCAAGTCAGGTTTAATGGGATCTCTTGAGAGTCTTTTCTCAACTTCTTCAACTTTATTAAATGCAGTAGCAACCGCAAACTCTCCACGATTTGTAAATTTTTCTGGGGTAAGATTCTCTTCATACGTTGAAGGAATTATTTCAAATTTCAGTCCCTGGAAAGAATATTACTGTATTTGTTGTATTTTCGCTTTCTAGAATTGACAAAGTTAGGTAGGCCTACCGGTATGACAACAGATTGGCATATATGTGTGTTGGTAATTTTTTAAATTGTAATAACTAGTAAAACGAAAGACCCAGTGAAACTTTGAGCTTCTTGATGGACCCAAAACTTACATTTTCCAAATTTGCCACAAACTCTCCAGAGAATGTACTGAATATAGGCCTACACTCAAGTAAGTGCAATTTCTCTCCTCTTCAGGAAGTGACATGATGAAGTAGGCCTAATTATAAACTTTGATGCTGGGTGACTTTCTAATAACTGTCTACTTTGCACTGCCTTAGTATCTTATAAGCTACCTAGTGTTATGGGGTTTAAGCACCTGAAACACCCAAAATCAAGGAAGTCTTGACGCTACTAAAGAACGCTGTCAAGCTGAGAGATAGGATTTATAGTAAACCTTGGTTATTTGTGTACGAGACCCAAGTCAACTTAAACGTTCTTAACTTACATCTTAAATGACTAATTATAAATATAGCCTAATAAGCAAAACTCTCAACCAACAAGGGGATGCAATGGAAATCTGAGTTTTGGGCAAGCTAAGAGGAGATCTACGATGAAACTTGGTTAAATTAGCAGTCATTAGGAGAAAGGGTAATTGGCCGGGGGAAAGTTAGTTTATTTGAATACGAGGTAATTATTGATGGAAATTTTGTTATTTCCCAGAAATAACCAAACTTGCTACAGCATATTTTGTATAGCCTACATACAGTACTTCAAAATTCTGTTTTATGACAGAAGGCATGTGGGGAAGGCAGGTCAAACTCAGACTTTGTGCTAATTCTTGACTGCTTAAGTCCTTTTAAAGGTAGGTTCAGGTTGGACTAATTGGTAATTAGTCAAGTTAAAGTGTAGGTTATAACTTAGTGAACCGAGTTGTTAGTCAATGTTACATCCAGACTGTTTATGTGCTATTGAAACAGTAGGTTAAAAGTGTGATAATACTACCGGTAACTTAATATAGATTTTAAAAATGCCACACATCAGCTCAATAAGTTATGGGAGGAGCAAGTTTTAACTTAGTCTGAGTTAATATTAGATAGATACAGATCTAGATCTAGTATGATAAATCATAGGCCATAGTCCGCCCTTACAAAATTTAGGCGTTAAGGAAAAGGTTTCCTAGGCCCCCCCCCCCCCGCTATTTTTTAGCTTAAAAAGTTAATGCAAGTTTATTGATCTGCTGTCAGCTGTCGGCTGTTGTTTCATAGTCTTAGTTAAGTGATGTGGAGGGGATTGATTGAATCACTTCACTTCAAACCGCAACCGCCTAAATTTTGTGAATGGACTGTAACTTTAAGTAACCTACTAAAAGACGATTTATACTTCTTACAATATTGTGAAGAATTTCTGATCTTCTAGGGGATGAACTGGCTAAAATTATACGTTTTCCTTGTAACACAGAACTCCTTAAGGGTTCAAGCATTTTGACTTGAGATGCTTGAAAACTGAAAGTCAAGTGTTAAAGTTAGGCCTAAACTTATTATGACTATGAAAAAGAAAGTGTTGTGAGCACGACCGCCTTTAACTCCGGGCCGTGGCGAAGTGGCAACGTCGCAAGTGGGGTTGTAACAGCTGTTTTGTTTATTTACTTATTTTATTTAAAAAAAGAGGTTGGCGGCCTCTTTTAACCTTGCATTTGCCAGACCACATAGACTACAGATCTGGTGCGTGGAACGTATCCAGCAAAGCAAGGGGTGAGCCGGTACAGTATGAAGGTGAACTGTAGGCCTACTGATAAATTTTAGTGGCAGTGACCAGGATCCGAACCCATGACATCGCTGCCTTTGGCCCAAAGTCCGTGACGCTACCAACACCAACTGAGCCACCGACTCACCACATTGGAAGCAGCTTAAAATGGTATTTGTGTTGGCCTATTTACAAAAGATTGGTTACTGGACTATGACAATATCAACTCCGCTTAAAATGTACAGACATAGATTTTTAATTTATATTGTTTCGTTTTTCAATTCTGTGTGTTTTATTTTCAATATTTTAATAAATTTATGTTCATAAATTTAAATCAATAAAGTGTGAATTAATGAGCTGATGTCACCTGTTTCCCATGTTATCTTATGGGACGTCTGTCACTAAACAACACCCTTGCAACATTGCCAATTCTAACAGGCCATGGCCTGTAGTTAAAGGTGGCCGTGGTTGTGAGTGTGTTGGAAGCTTATAAATAGATTTTAAGTTTTAACTTATTTCGGCTGCACTTTTTAAGTAGTTTAAGTTACGTCCTACACTCATCCGAATGAAAATATCGATATAAGTTATAGATTATTCGACATATCGATTATTTCATTCGATTGATGTAGGCTATGATGACTTGATATTTTCAATGAAGTAATCGATGGATATACAATCGATATAAGTTTATATTCATTCGAATAAGTGTAGGACGTAAACTAAGTTAAAGTGCAGCCCTTATTTCGAAGGCAATAACAGATCTAAACTCAACTGAAAGGTCCAAACTAACTCAAGGTTGGGCCCACACCTCGCTCCTATCAAATAAACCTAGACCTAGACCTACCAAAACTGTAATCTCACACACAGCTCAACCTAACCTAACCTAGGCATTTATTAACAATCACTCTTTATTGAGGAATCCGAAAAAAATAGCCTAAATGAACATTTAAAACTTCTTAAATAGTTCATGCACACACAACATTTATTCGTCAATACTTAATAGCCTAACAAATCACTTCAGCTTCAGCACACTAAAAACACTTTCATTTCCATAATCAAAATAAATTAATTGAATTTATGAACTTGACTTTCAGTGTTTCAGTTTTCATTTTCTAGCAGCTAGCAGCTCAGCTGGCTCAAGCGCTCAAGCTCAACTCGAAACTCGACGTTCTCGTTCTCTACCCACGCATTTCAGCTTCCACATGCCAACCCAGCCCAAGGCTAAAAGCACGGGTCACACTAGGCTGGCATCAGCGGCGAATTGAAAGAAGCCGCTACTGTCAGCTTGATGTGACCACAAAATTCGCAGCTGGCATCGCTAGCCGGCGAGTATTTGTCAGCGGCTGGCGAAGTTGGACATGTTCAACTTTTGGTAGCGAGGCAGCGGCGACTAGAGGTCACGTGACCACTCGCACTCGCTGACACCAGCGAGCAGCGTAGTCTGACCACCTCTAGAAGCGTGCCAGCGGCGACCAAAGCAGGTAATATCCAGCTTGGTTTAATACAAAAGGACAAAAGCAACTGTCTCAATTTTTTAATTAGAGGCTTAACTTAATTCTAGTAATCCCTGGAATGTATGTGGTGACTGATGGTGACATTCGTAAAACATTTTGGTATGTTTCTGATTCTTTTTTAGTGCGTTTAAAAACGTGGTATTTTTTTAAAGTATTTTTATTTGTAAATTATTTGTAACCAAGACCTGATCCACTAACGTCTCTTCTTGCGGTTAAGCATCTTTTAATAAAATAATTTCTCTTTCACACACAGCATCCTCAATATTAAGTGCTGGATGAGGACCCAAAAAAGGACACAATGGCAACAAAAGAACTTAGTTTTAAACTTTAAAGTAGTATTGTAGCATAGAAATTACTGAGCTTAGGTGGTCCGGGAAGCAGGTTATTGATTTCTTAAATTTATTCCAAAACTAAACGTGCTTGTGGGACGTTTCTTTATAGAAGTAAGAACATGAAATAAGCAGCTTACAGTGATTTGTTACAAAATCTCAAAGCTGTTCTTTTCCTTCTCACACATCGTTAATATCGCGATCACCAGTACCTAAAGCCTGTGTCACACTACGCTACTTTACTAGCAGCTAGCGAAATAGCAGCTACTAAGTAGCCAATGAATGTGACATAGACAGTAGCAGCTACTAAGAGTAGCGCGCTAGTGAAATTTTACTAGCATGGAAAGTTGAACATGTCCAACTTTCCGTGCTACTAAACTGCGCTAGTGAGTCACGTGACCAACTAGCAGCTATCAAGTAGCGACTGTCGCCCAGTGTGACAGCTTCAATAGCAGACTAGCGGCTACTTGCACCATGTGCTGTCTGCCTGATTTGTTTATTCTCGTTAAAGTAAAAATATATATAAAGTAAAAATAACTAACCCACCTAATAAAGTAGAGCATGAGGTTAAAAGTGTGTGTGAAAGTATGAGTAAAGACAGTACTAGTGCAATCCTATTCGCTAAACTACCTAATCCAGTTGATCATCACATAAAAAATTTCAAAACTTGTGACGGTCTAAACGTTAACGAACTGTTGAGGTTTATTAAAAACATGTTAAAACTTAAAAATGAAACCCAGCTAACAGATGAACAAATTATAGCTCTTTGCTTAGGGTATGCCACTGGTCCATTGTATGCAAAAATTTTAGAGATCAAGAGTTTAAATCAAAATATAGATGTTTTGCATGGTAATCTACTTAACTACTTTGTGCCAATTAACTTAAGGGAAAATCTGAAAAGAGAAATGGTCACACGTCCCCAGGGAGTAAATGAGCCTTTAAGTTGCTATGTTCTAGAAGTGAAAGAAAATGCAACCTTGTTGAACTGTAGGTACTCAGAGAGAGAGTTAGTAGAATTTATCAAAATAGGAATGAACCCAGTCACTAGAATGAAACTTGTGTTTGCTAGCACCCCAAACTCATTTGAAGATTAAGATGCACTATGTGTCCAAGTACAAAATGTTAGTTATGAAGATCATAGGAGAAGTAATGTTATGGTTAACTTGCCCCACAGAGATAGTAACCAATTAAGACCGATTCAGAAATGTTACAACTGCGGTAGGAATGGTCACATAGCTAAACATTGTTTCAGACGGAATGTGAATAACAGTTTTCCGGAAAATAGAAGCAATCCAAAAAACGGAGTAGGACGGAGGGTTTCGGAATCAACGTAAACTCACGGAAATCCTCCGGATACAAAACTCGGATATTTACAAATAGGAATTATGTTAGGGCAGCAAATAACAGTGAGCATAAGAAGTATCGCAAATTTATTAGTAAACTTAATCACGAGGTAGTGTCTATGCAAGTAGATAGATGGAATAACAAGTCTAATAACATTTGCATTGTCCCTAGAGTAAAAGTGCAGTTTGAAAATAAAATCAAAGAAAATGTATTAATAGACTCAGGTAGTCAGGTAGTAGTATCAACTTGATGAATGAAAGTTTATTTAAAAGATTGCAAACAAATTCTGTAGTTCAAAGATTAGATAAGGGAGTTGTAAATTGTTTATCAGCTAACAATGGGAAGATCAATGTGATAGGAAAATGCTCAGTGAAGATAAAAATAAATAGATTCTCCTGGAATGTGACATTTTATGTAGCAAGTGATTTAAGTTTGAATGCTCTATTAGGTGTTGGTTTCATGAAACAGTCAAAAATGGTGTTGGATATAAACAATGACCTTTGTTATTTTGATTTTGAGCCAGAACTTAAAATTTCACTATATAGCAATGCATGTGTTGTAAATATTGTAAATAGTAGTGTAAGTAGCAAAATCACTGTTGGCTGTCATAATGCATGCAGTTCAGTGCAGAAATTGATAAATGACTATCCTAAGGTTTTTACCAATAAAATCGGTGAGGCTATCGACTTTGAACTAGAATTAAAGGTTAAAGACTATGAAGTAGTTAGATTAAAGACATATCCGCTAAACCCACCCAAAATGAAAATAATGAAAATGAAAGAAATTATTGATGATTTGTTGCTACAGGGAGTAATTAGGCCTAGTCTGTCTCAATACTGTAGTCCTAGCTTCTTGGTTAAACGTGGAAATTCTGACAAATTCAGATTAGTAATCAACTATGGTGAATTGAACAACAAATTAGAGCGGATTAATTACCCTATAGGCGATGTCCAGGAAATGTATCATTATTTGAGAGATAGTGAATACTTTACAGTCTTAGATTTGTGTAATAGTTTTCACCAAATTAAACTGTCAGAAAACTGCAAACACCTGACTGCGTTCACTACTCCATTTGCCAGCAGAGTGGCGCAATTTATGTAGGGTTACTAAATTATTTCTTGCCAGCAACCTTACACTTGATTTAGATTGGTATAAACTTAATAAAATATTTTCTTGGAGGTAATTAATAAAATAATATTCATAATTTCTTCATGCTTTGAAATTTATTAAGTAAAAATTAATCTTCCTTTACATATTATAATCTTTACTTGAAAAGGGGTTGTTACAAACATTTTACTTCAAAACAATTAAAATGGTAAAATTCTTCATTAATACTTCAAATATGTCAAATACGTCAACCCTAAAAAGAACCAAAAGTAATTAATACTCTACTTTAAATACACTTCTTTAAAGAGCAAATTATTTCAAGATAAAAAAGGTACCTATACTGAATAACATCAAACAAATTGGTTATAAAATGATAAATATGGCATGTTTACAAAAAATTAGGTTTAGCAAGGCAAATGAATAAATCTACTTGAAACTCACTTACCCAAAAGGGGGAAATTTAAAATTACAACAAATTTTATAATAGTCACATGCATCAAACTACTACTTCACAAGACAGACAGTTAGAGAATGAGCATGCAACTTAGAAAAAGCATGCTGACTGTGCACTGTTCTCTGATTGGCTAAAATTCACAACTTCTGGAACACTCCAGCCAATCAGATATCACATCACCTTGCTTCAACCTGTACAGTGATTTTCATAGAATATTCCTGTTATTGACTTTCAAGTTAAATTTGGCTTTATTCTGAATTTAATTTAATTTCATAGTTTTACTCAAATAAATAATTTTCTAAAATGTATAAATTGCTTGAATAAAATATTTTAATTTGAGGAAATGTAGTAAAATTGTTTTTGAAGTTAACAAAAAAAAATAGCTAAAATAAAATATTGAAAATAAAATGCTACAAATTTCCCCTCTCCAAGTTTTTTGTTAACTCAACAACTAAAATTTTACAAACCATCAAAATTACATTCAATAAAAAGGAAACCGTTTATAAAACCAAGTAAAGTTCATTCTTCAAAATAAATAGACATTAGTGCAACTCAGTTCATTTCAAACAAACATCACTATTCTGTGGATGAGTAGTTCAAATAGCCCTCCAAACTGTGGGAAGTGCACAGGAAGTAGGAAGTCTCAGACATTGTCCTGCTACAGTGGTGGGTAATTCCAAAAGTCAAGCAAAACAAGTTTCTTCTACTTGTGTTAACATGCCAAGCCTTATCAGTTCAGCTCTCCAAGCAAGACAAACTCTCAAATACCTTCAACAAACTTTAAACATTCAATTAATACAGTGTATTGCAAGATCTTTAAATGCACAGTTGTGTTTGATGCTTGTTATTCCAAAATCAACTATTAAATAGTAGTAATTCGTTAAATTTCACAAACTCAGTGTAGCAAAAGGTGGTCCATTGAGCCGTATTAATAAAAAGAAGGATATGCTCAAAAGGAAAAGGTAGGAGCATAAGCATTTGCTTCTAGTAAAAGGTAAAAGTAAAAGCATATCCTTCAAACCGTATTAATAATGATAACCTTTTACTTCCGAGCAAATCCTTCTGCTTAGAAGTAAATGGGCCTTTAGGAACAACACATGTAAAAACATCTGATCCTGTTTATTTTTGTCTACTTATATCCCTCGAAGGATTAGCTGTGCCAACGCTGTGTAATGGTTTTGCATCCGGCTTTAAATTTAATCTTAACAAACTTAATTATAAAACCTAGCTAGAGTGTGTGGGCTGGAATTTTACCCCCGGAATCTTAACTCCTTTCCAGACATAGAATTTGGTTGATAATAATAATTAGTCGTGTACAGAATAGGTCTCTTTATAGAAATCGTCGTATTATACCATAGATTATACATAGTTTCCAAAATGTTGATTTGTAGATAGCATGCAGCACTGTATAACCACAGAT